ACAGTTGTTTAAACAGTTATATACACATCTTTAACTTCCACTCAAGTTTCTCAAATTTCTTGGTTATTGTAATTCGATCTATGCAGTGTAAGGGCTTATGAGTTTACTAACAAAAGCACTTTACTTTTTCTTTACAACCATATAAACAAATATATATATTGTATTGGGTTTCACCTCCATATTTACAATTAAAAACACTTTTATCAGCAGCTTAAAAGTAAGGCTTAAGCCTAATTACAAAGACATTCTAGTCTGACTGACCCATCTAATCCATAATAACCCCATAACATTCAGTCGAACAACCTGACAAACAAATGCATTCATTGATTAACCCTTCAATGCCTAGTTACCAAGCCAAACCATCATCGTTTGACAAATCAAATGCCATCAGAGCTTGGAGACTGCAAAAACTTTGACCATCAGTTGACGTTGATTTCAAATGGTGATGACACAAGCATCAACGGCAACAATCAGGCGGCTCATTGTGGTCGCTCGACACAACCAGAATCGGATGCCAACGGTCAACTGGCACAATGCAAATGGCTTGGATTTGCCTTTGGACCACAAATCGGGGGACAGGAACACCTGACCAGACGGCCAGATGGGTGTCGACTGGTGGCGTTGAAGGATTCACGATGTGACAATGTTCCACAGCCTGACATGCGGCCATAATGCGGCCGCTCTCCAGCTAAACGGCAAACAAACAAACAAACACAGAAACAAACATAAACATAAACGAAAAAAAAGAAAACTAAAACTGTTGCTGACAGCAACAAGGATAGGAACGACAACAACATGGAGCAATAAACTTGAAGTTGACAATTGTAAAAAGTCGGGGAACATGTGAGAGACGGCCTCGAAATGATACCAACCAGCAGTGATGGGAGGAAGCTAGGTAGCCTTGCTTACATGGGGACTCTTCTTTTTATTTATGTTACCAAGTATATATTATATAAAAACAGTCAACTTAGTCAAAGAAACATAATATAAAGTCTCTAAATTTTGAAAACATTTATTATTGATCTACAACCATGTACACCAGAAATCTCCAAATATTATCTAATTCAAACTCCATTTAATATTCAAATCTAGATGGCAATCTACAGGGTTCTCTTACCTGTTTCCAAAAAAAGGAATTTATAAAAGTGTAGCCATCACTGACTCACAGCAGCAACAACTGGGGGCATCAAAAAAACAAACAACAAACAACAAGCGGCAATCATAAAATCAACAACTATGAAATTCATCACCGCTCGGTGGAAAGCCTCGCCTCGTTGACACTTCCGCCTCGCTTTGGAGTTTGGACGAGTGTATAAAGTCTGAACTGGATTTGGATCGTCCGGTGGCAGTGGCAGCAACAGCAGCAACACTCAACTCTAGACAGGCGACACAGCAGCAGCATCATCATCACTCACGGACGGAACGGCAGCATAACGGTGACGGGTAAGTGAAATTAATTGCATTGTTTTTGGCCAATGAATTCCTAGTTGCCAGTTTTTGTTTTCGGCTTAAACGCCTTGACGCCTTTTTGCCAAAACACCAGCAACAACACGAGCAACAGCAACAGCAGCAACATCAACATCCACATCAGCAACCGAGCAACAAGACCAACACCAGAGCACAGGGCATCATCACACAGCGACCACAGCGCGTTCCTCTGTTCCCAAATCCATCTCCCCAATCCAACGCCCTTCCCCTTTCCACTCCTCTCGCCCAGTGACATTTTGCAGTTCATCACTTGTGATTGCCGCAGTATGTTGCACAAAACATTCAATGGGCACAGTGCCCTGAGGATTAGCCAAAAGCTTCACCAAAATGAAAGGAATTTTGACACTGTTCGGGTTTCCCTGGGAAAATCTAAGAAAAATCTTTGGGATGCAGAAGATTGATATTCACTTAATCACTTTATTACTAGCTGATTCTGAATACTATGAATGGGATTAAATAATATTTATAAGTCTTGACAATATACTCGTGTATTACCTTTTCTTAAAAGTTGCAATATTCCTTTGATTTGTACAAATATGGCAATTTTTTAAATTAAAATATAACTTAAAAACAATATTTAAGATTCGTACTTAAAGTTATCCATTCTGGTTGCAATGTGCAGCAGTTAGGATGTTTTTAGATCCACTGCTTCCCCTGCTCCCTCCCTCTTCGCCAATGGCTGTTGTCCTCATCGCTTTATCGCGCCTAGACGCAGCTCCGGCCTGGAGCGGCAGTTTCAGTGGCATAACCATGCTCATTCCCACTACCTATCCCATTCCCATTCCCAATCGGAATCCGAATCCGAGTTCCGGCTCCATCTACCATATCCTTCCCAGCTCCCCTCCCACACCACTTTTAGCCAGGAGTCTCGTGGTGGCTCTTGCTCTAGTTAGTTACCATCATCAACATGTTGACATGTCTATGACTGCATGCATCTGTGTGTGTGCGCTGACATACTGTTTGTGACAGTGTGTGTGTGTGTGTGTGGGGAGTGGAATGTCATAGGACGGGTGTGTGCTGGTGCTGGTGCTGGTGCCTGTGCGTTGCAATGCGCTAACCAAGCTCAACAGCGTTTATCACTCATGCTTATGGTCTTGTTTTTGCGGTGATATATCACACTTGACACTCATTCATTCAGTTTCGGAGTTTAGTGTTTTGGGCTCGTTATGTGCCACTCCCACTGCCTAATTCCCACGTCCTCCTCTGCTATCCACCATTTGAATTTCATCACATTCTGAGGCAGCAAAGCAAACATAAACTTCTCTCTCTCCTCTCTACCCTTTCCTCCTCTTCCTTGCCATTGTTTTTTGGCAATGGCAATTGCGTAGTTAACGGTCACACAACTATCGCTGGCACTGCACTGGAAAAAATAAGTATTACTTAGTATTTGGTATTAAGATGAATAAAGTTTCATAAAGTAATGATATAAAGACTCGTTTTGCATAGAAAATTAGAAGTTCCTACAACTACAAGCTTTACAGATCTAAGATAACCCTTTTTGTTCATATAATTCCCAACTTTTTAAGGACTTTAAGAATTAAAAAAATGAAATTACATTGAAATAACAAGAAACTAAATGGAATAATGAATAAATTACCTAAAAACTGTCTAAAATGTAGCATTATTAACCCTTTTTGGTGCCCTGCTGAAATGAGAATCCTTTCATTTTCAGATTTCTAACTTTTTTACAGCTCCCTAATAGCCATCATGTTGATGTTAGTGCCAAGTGTCCCTGTTAATTTGTTCAGCGATAGATAGATGGAACCCCAAGTCCTTCTTTTGGGCACTCCAAATGGGGCACAGTGTACGGGGAAGTGGCAATTCATCCATCCGCATCACTCACATGCAGTTTGGAGCCCAGCTCGGGGTTTTTTGTGGGTTATTTGTCTTATTGTTGTTGCACGGGCTGGTTCTGTTTGTTTTTCAATTGCTCCGCAAATGTTTATGCAGATGAATTGTATTTTGAGTTGTGTTTTTGTCTGGCTTGCTGCTCATAGACGGCTGGGCAGGGCGAGGTGGATCGGAAGACAGAGACGGCTCATCCGAAAGGGGCTCCGAGTCCTTCGTCATTTGATGGATGGTGGCACATTCTTACTAAGCTCACCAAAATGTTGCTGTAAGTTGTGGTTTGGAATCGTACGTAGCTCTGAATTTGTTTATGAGATTTTTACAGCAAGATTATTAGTTCTGCTTGAAATGGCAAACTGGTTTGAAATTCAAAAAATGTTGCCCTTTTTTAGGCACAGCAGTAAGTGATTTCAATACGCTACTTCAGCAAAAGGAACCTTCTACATGACATTTGAAAAGAAATCCAATCTCTCTATGCTAAAAATCAGGAGTATAATACAGTCTGTCCCTGAAGCTTTTCTACACCTCCCAACTGCCTTTCCTTTACCACAGCCAGCTCCTACTTCAAGGCAAATTAATTAAAATCTCCAGAAAAGCAGGGAAAAAATCACCCGCGGCTGTGCAAAATATTCGGAAAATAGCAAATAGCCAAAAACTCTGACAGATACTTTGAACCCAGAGCTCGTAAACATTTGCCAAAACCATAATTTGTTGTTTCCACAAATTGTTAGATAGATTCCATTTAACTTTTGACTCCACCTCGTACGGAGGACAGAGTTCCCAGCCAGGTAGCTGCCACTCAATCCAATTGAGTTTTCGGCTTTTCCCGTTCCTGTGTGCACACTCGGGCCAAACGTATTCGTAATTGTGTCTAAATTTAAAGGGGAATATCATTTAGTTCTGGGGGGTTTTGAAAGAGAGGCAATCACAGAGGAGGGGGCAAGGCGAAAGGGGAACGGGAAGAACTGGCGCCTGCATTTTTATGGCATTCTGGCGACGTCGTTGTCGCTGCCGTTGCCGTTGTGGTTGTCGTCTGGACGCGTCCGTCACAGCGAAAAAAGGTGTCAGGAATTTTTTGCATTCTGCATTTTTTGACAGATGGACAGGAGATGTGTGTGGGGGCATGAAAGTGATTCCGTGGAGTCGCGCGGAAGTTGCAACTTGTGATAAAAATCGTGTGTCAATTCGATTTGTGACGTTAACCGCTGCCTAAACAACAACAACAAAGCCGCCAGTTTTTGCCGGCCTGGCTTGGAAAATGTTTCTGTTGCAATAGAAAAACGGACGCGTTACATGACATTTGTGGCAGCGAATTGGCAGCTTCCACAGGCCGCCCGCTGGATGCAATTGCACAAAACTTGACTGACGGCCGGCAATTTCTAGGTGGGTGGGCGGCAACATGGCTATGTACTCTGATGGAATCAAGGATACTGGGGGGATGTAGGAATGCAGGAATGTTAAACAAATATTTAAACATCTTGCTGTAAGAAGAAAGATCCCTCTTAATCTAATGATTCTCCTTAATCAAAGTTAGTTACCAATCTACAGTAAGTATTCCTCTCTAAAGAGATTATATATTCCAAAAACGTATCGAAATTTCCGACTTAGATACAAAAACTCAGCCGTTTTCGACGTTTATATCAAATGAAAATTCTAAGTAATCCGACTCTGGACGTAAATCCGAGACGTCAAGACGGTAACCAACAATGGCCGTATTATCCCCGTTACAGGGGTTACATTACCCGGTATTCGAGGGTATCACGTGTCCAGAGAGAAGATGACGAGAAGCGGAGAACGGCCCGCCACAGGCTGATCATCCACATCATCAAGATGTGCGTCCTGCTGCTTCTCTGGGCTGCCTGCTCCAGCATTGTATTTTTGTTTGCGGAAGAGAACAAGCCGGAATCTATGACCGTCATGGTGATGCCCAATGAGACGGCTGTAAGGAAGATTGAATTGCACGGTGACGGTGTCACGGTCACACTACGTGGACCCATAGATAGCTATCTTATGAGGTTTCCGGAAGAGGATGAGGGAAAGTACGGCGTGGGATTGCGGGTGGAGTGGCGCAGCTCCGATCTAAATGTCACCCACAGCCAGACGAGTATGTGGAACATCGTCATGACCAGCGACCCCAACATGTACGACGATGTGTCCAAGACCTTAAGGCTTGAACGAGCTGGCGGGGATGGTGCCCAGGCAGTGGTGTCCCTGATGAGCCGGAGGGATTCTCCGTTATCCCTGTTATTGGAAGTAAGCACAAGCCCCCCGATTCCGGAGATAAGCGTGGTGTATGCAGGTCTCCTGATCCTTGGACTATATCTGCTGATCATTTTCGACATTATAGACCACACCTTCGCAGCTCTTATAATTGCCACCACCTCCGTTGCCATTCTCGCCATCATGAAGCACCGGCCCAGCGTGGATCACGTTGTCTCCTTTGTCAACTTCGAGCCCCTCATGTTGCTTTTCGGACTCATGACCATTGTGGACATAATGACGACCACCGGAGTCTTTGATTACCTCGTCGTCGCGACTTACAGGATATCCAGGGGTCGTCCCTGGCCCCTCATATTTTTCCTGAGCATGCTTACCGCCTTTCTCTCCGCCCTGCTGAACAGCGACATCATGGCCGTGGCCCTGACCCCGATAACGATTCGGCTGTGCGAGGAGATGTCCCTGCGCACGACTTACGTCCTGATCGTCATGGCTATATTCGCCGAAATGGGCGGTGCTCTAACTCCAATGGGAAACCCGCCCAATGCCATCGTGATTACCAATCCCGCGGTGATGGCAGAGGATGTGGATTTCGTCGATTTCATCCTTCACATGAGTCCCGGCGTGTTGGTCGCCATGTTCGTGGTCTTTGGATTGGTCTATGTGACCCACAGGAAGACGATCTTTGTGCTGGACGAACGTCAGTTGGAAGTGATGGAGAGCCGACCCAAGAAAGAGCCACCAAATGAGGAGACCCTGGCTCGCATAGCTCAGCTCAAGCAGAGGCAGCCGGGCAGGTTTTGGCTCACGCCCGTGGAAAAGTATCCGGAAACGTTGGCCGGATTGGAGGCCGACAGCAAGATCAGAGACAAGCCGCTGCTGATCAAGTGCTGCATCGCTTTGGTTTTCGTCTTTATCTGCATGATCCTGCACTCCATTACCGATGTGTTACCTGGTGCCTCCATGGGCTGGGTCACTCTCCTAGCCGCCTTCCTGCTTATTATCCTGGACGACAAGAACGACCTGAACGCCACCCTTGGCATAATCCAGTGGACACTCCTTCTATTCATCGCCGCTCTGTTCGTTTTGGCGGAGGCCATGGATCAACTGAAATTCTTCGAGTGGGTGGGGAAATGGTCGGTGGATTTCTTGGAAAGCTTACAGCCGCAATACCAGACAGCGGTGGCAACTATGATGGTACTTTGGACATCTGCCCTCCTATCGATCCTCATTGACAACGCCGCCGTCACGATCTTCATGCTGAAGCTCACCTTCCAGATGGCCAGCAAGGAAAACAGCCACCTTTCTCCACTGATCTGGGCCCTGACATTCGGCGCCTGTTTCGGGGGCAATGGATCCCTGTTTGGCGCCGTGTCCAACGAGATCATCGCATTGATCGCCCTTCAGCATGGCTACAATATAACCTTCTTTCACTTTTTCATCGTCGGATTCCCAATGATGCTGGTCATCCTGTCGATCAGCTCCGTCTACGTTCTGCTCGCGTATGCGGTCTGGAATTGGCACTGAAGTCGCGCTTTTTAGGTTTCGACTTGGCAAACGATGCTCTGGGAACTCAGAAAAGAATGTATATATTGTATATACTATGTCTATAAACATGTATTGCTTATGTGGGTGCTGCCGAGACCAATAACAGTAAAAAAACTAACTTATAGCATCTTTTTAATGAGTTTCTGAGGTGTAAAGGACATTTCGTCTTCTTGATATACCATTTATTTACCCATCTAAGCCCTCAACCACCTTTAATAAATCTCCAGAATCTAGTTTCTATTGCAACTTTATCCCCAGCAGCAATGAATCTAACAGGGGGCTTCCAATTCGGACATTCCGGCCCAGCCCACATTCTGTTATGTCACTTTCTAGTCCACAAAAACCAAAACGCACACAAGAGCACGAGGAACGTGTCCAAGTTTTGATGGCTGACAGCCGTTGGTGCTGCATTTTGGCCACAATTGTCAGGTGTCGCGATATTCCACCGCCTGTCAATCTGATTTCCGTCAGATATGCATATTCTATTGAAGGCAGAAGGGCGGCCGAATAATCGCCACCCAAGAGCAGGGAATATATAGAGGGATTTTTTACCTAATTAAGTGAAATCTAAATTGAACAAATTTCCGGTTCCCAAGCATAACGCTATAGAACAATAAACAACTATACAGAACAATAAATAAATTACAAATGAAGAAAAACTGTTAACAGATAAAAAGTTGAACGTATCTATTTTCAAAAACCGTTGTTTCATTCCCATTTGTACTAGGCGAGGTAAGACCTCTCTTTCACTCACATCCTAAGCTAACGGACGTCGTTTGAGTTCAAGTTTGGTGTTCTTCTTTTCTTACACGCTTGTTGTGATTACGCGTGAGTCGCGTATGTTCCAGCTCATCGAATAAAGTTATTTATTTATCGATGATCCTATCCCCAAAAAAATCAGTTCCCTACATTTACTTATACATTTAACTATAATGAAAAGGAAAAAACATTCATTTTTTATATATATAATAGTAGTCTTTTACCTTTTTGGAAACCGCTAAGGGCAGGGACTTCAGAATGTCAATGCATACTTTTCAATATTTTCAAGAAGATCAAAAGAAGAAGAAGAAGATTAAATTTGGCTTTAAGCCTTTAATCTGGGCAGAGATTGGACACTCTTATTTGTAGTCTTAGAAGGTTGTCTTTCGGGCTTTTTAGTGAAAGAAAATTGAATTGGGGCTAAAACTCAGTTTAAATTTTAAAATTCTAAATTTTAGCTCCTTTTTTTTACATATATACAGACTTTAATGTGTAGTTTTTTTATATTTATTAATATAAATAAATTATATGTATCCTAGATCCTAGTTTTCAGGATTATTTTTTCTTACTACAAAATTCTACAAAAAGACTAAAACTCAATGCTCTTTAAGTATCTGGAATGTCTGGAAAACAAAGCTTCGCATATTTCCTTTTTTCTTAGTTTTTCTTTGAAAAGTTTGAAGCGTCGAAGACGAAACACAAAACTAATAAAGATGCGTAATGGCTGTCTGCGCACAAATATTGGAAAATAATTAGAGTGTGGGAAAAGCGATAAGGAACTGGAAAATTGGGATGTATGTGTGGTAGCTCTAGCATTTTTAGGAAAAGATCAAAAAGATATCAAATCTCTTATGAATTTTAGAATCTTCCTCCCTTTCTGACACAAATTTGCATCTCCCTCGCACAATCCGTGGGTTTCCCGTTATCCTTTAGCGATGTGCATGCAACAATTGTTCCCTGGGTCACGCATGCCAGAAAGAGAGGGCCACGCAAAAGGGGGTGGAGGTTGTGGTGGGGAGGCCACAATAACTTTTTAGGAAAAAAACAGCAGCGCAGAAATTAATGCTCTTGAAGTGCTGGAAATGGAAACTCTTTAACAATCCTCTCTCACTCTCTTTCTCCCTCCCACACTTTGCTTCATTTTCAATTTCAATAAATAACCTTGATTTAAGCGGCAGCGACGTCGACGCCGTCGCCGGCAGCGCAGTTCGCATTTGACCAGCTGCAATACAAACACAAATGCCACCCCCTCCCACTACGCACACACATGCAACTGCCAGACCGGCCCCCACACACAAACACCTGTCACACAGTGCTCGGTCTCTCTCTCTCTCTCTCTGTGTCTCTCCATTTCTCAAATCTGCAATCCTGGCTCTGCTCTCAGTGCAGTGAACAGAGAGGGCTCATAAATCAAAACAAAGTTGCACAAGCACGGAGCGCAGGCGTTGGTGAGAGCGCTCTTTCAGGCTCGCTCTCGCTCTCGTATATCAATTTAATGGGGAAAACTGTCGGCAGTCGCTCTCTCGTACAACTCATTTTGATGGCGCTGTCGCTGCGCTGCCCGCTCTCTGCTGCCATCTCTTAACGTTTCGACGGCCGAATTCGATTCTCTGCCTCTCTCGCGCTCTCCGCGAGAGCGTGCTGATGTATCTGTATCTGCGATTCTGTCATCTCTCAATCCGTCGGTACGTACTCAAAAACATATGACGGTTGAAAAAAAATACCCTTTTGAGACAGCCGAAATGGCATCAGTTGGGTTTCCAGCTCGGCCGGGAAAAGTCGGGCAGATTTCAAGAAGCGGCTCTGGACAGCCAAGTTGCTAAAAATAATACTAGTAGTTAATCACGAGTCCGAGGAATCCGTCGGTGCGCAATGTTTTCGTGGACGGCCGAACGACTGTCGCACTTTCCTACGTTTTCGCCTGCCCTTTGAATTGTGGGTGGTGCAACAGCAGTAGCAGCAGCAGCAGTAGCAGTGGCAGTAACGGTACATCGCTCGACCTGCCACCAAGTTGCAAGTCCAGGAAATAGTTTACAAGAACGAAAGCCGAAAATCGAAAGACCTCAAAAGTTGTGCGCGTCGTAAATAAACATAAATCTTGTGGCAAGCATTCAGTAAATCATTAAATTAATAGCCCCACCAATACACACGCACACACACACACAGCTGTTGTGTGTGTGGCGAAGTAGCAGAGCAGAGGAAGAGGAAGCAGAAGGAAGTGAAATTGGCGGCAGTTTGACCGCAACAGCAACAGCAACAACAACAACAACAGCAGCAAATAAGGCAGCACACACACATACACGCACTCGTTCGTCATCAGTCGTAGTGTTCCCCCCGCCACCCACTTCGCCCACCCCTTCGGCCCATCGAACCATTGTGACATTTGATTTATTTGACGTGTGTGTTTTTGATAGAAGCTCAACACGAAACTGACACACACACGCGGACACACACAGGCACAGTCGCCAAAGAATTTATTTAGTGAACGAAAATAAAATCAGAAACCAGAGTTCTTTTCGCGTATGTTTGAAGTGAAGTGTGACGAAAGAGCGAAGGGAGGCAGGGAAATACTCGTACTCGAAGCACGCCGAGAACAAGTCCCTCGCTATCAATGAACAGCCGGAATTAATTGCCAAACAGCCCAGTAATCTAACCTTAGGATTGGGAACTATCCCCGAATATTCCATCAAAATGATGCTCCACGAGGCTGTCATGCTGGAAATCTACCGCCAGGCGTTGAGTGCGAGGTGAGACTTAGTATACTTTGACTTGGCTATACTTTTCCGATTTGTTTGTCGCCTTTATTGTTGTTATTCTTATTGGGTTTTGTTTGGGTTTGGCGTTGCAGTTTGTTGCAAACTGTCAGTGGGGTGTCAAGTAAAACTTTTTCTGATTAAAAATGAAACTGAAACTAAGACCTTCGTTTAAGAACACTTTCCATTTAATTACAGTCTGATTTTATGTGATTTAAGTGTGATTATAGGAGAAGTTAATGAAGTGAATTTTTACCAAAAGTCAGCTTTGGAAATAAAAATGACCTAAGTAGCAACCAATTCATGATTTAGTGATTAATTATATAGAACGTGATTGTGATTGTGTTTTGGGTTGTCCCTGACCGCCTTCTTAATTTAAATTTCATAAGAACCTAAAACAGCTTTGAAAAAAAACAAAGAGAGGCGAGTGAATTTCTGTGTCAAGAAAAGTGATTCTAAAGTTCAGAGTTTGTTGCAACTTTAACGATTAATTTTGCGACTTAAATGTTTGCAGTTTGTTGTGTAAATTGTGACCTACTGTCGGAAATATTTGGAATCATTTTATTATTAGAGAGTTAAAAGTATAAAAAATATATTAAATAGAATGAAGCGGAGTACAAATTAAGATATAGCCTTTTTAAAATTAATAATCATAAAAAAATTTGATGAATGTTGTTTACAAAGTTAAGCAAAGTGTTTGTTGTTGGAAAGTCTGTGACTCTTTGTTTTTCGATTACTAAGACATGGCATTTGCTAAAATAAATAATTTACACTTTTTTCTTAATTTTCTTCTTTGCTTCTTAATTTAAGGCGCTTCCGAATAATTATTGGGCCATTCAGGGATTATATTATTGTTATCTATTTAAATATTTTTTATTAAGTAGGTTCCTACATAAATTAATGGTTTTCCAAGGTAACTAAAAGTAAGAATGCAAAAGAACTAAGAAGTAAGAATTCAAAAATGCAAAGATGAGGGACTTCGCCCATACGTACTAATATCAAAAGAAGTATTTATTTACTTATTTTATTTATCTAAGCCTTAGATTATAAGGCTAACCAATTACCTTAAAACTAAGAGCATAAAAGTAGGAAGGGTGGGCACTACATTTTTTATTGTTTTCTTGACTATCTAAGCTGCGAAATAGATATTTGACCTCCTAGAAGTAATAAAGGTCCTTATTGACAAGCATCTTACATCTCGATTGACGAACTAACTTTAATCACAAGTTAAGTTAAGCTAGGATAAAGATTTCTTACGATATTTATTTCATTTTCTTTCCTTTTTATAACAGATTTTAACCCTTCACCTTTCTAATCTTTCCCTTCCAGTGAGTTGGCCAGTCCGCGATGCCAGTCCCGGGAGTCCAACACCTCGGCTGGAGCCGGAACAGGATCTGGCGACGTGCGATGCCCGTCGAATGAGTCGCATTGCTCGGCCAACGATCGCCTAACCCCGGCTGCCACGCCCACACCCCACAGCAACGCCCATATCCCCGCACTCAGTGGGCCTTCCGCTGGCGGCGACACTTCCACCTGCGGCGGCTGCCGCTCTGCTGCCACCCCAATCCGCCGCCATGGCAGCTTACCTGGCCGCCGCCCAACAGAATCACCTGCTGCTGACAAATCCCTTGGCAGCAGCAGCTTCGCTGGTCCAACAGGCGACGCAGCAGGCGGCGGAAGAGGGGGAGTCCCCGGCCCTGGATTTCAGCAGAAAGCGCCCTACGAGCGATGTGGAGGAGGAGGAGGAAGAGGAGCAGGAACAGGACCAAGAGCCCGAGCAGGATGCCCAAGGCGACACTGGACCTTTAGATCTGTCCGTCAGCACAAGGAAACGAGAAGGACCGGATTCCCCGCCAGCCAGGAAGATTCCAAGAGGTATGTCCTCCGACTACAAGTCGCCCCTTCCCCCTGGTAGCTGGATGCCGCCCATCAATCCCTACTTGGCGGCTGTGGCGGCGAAGACGGGAGGATTGGGTAACTCCAAATGTGCACCCAGCGACGCCAGCAAGGCACTGGAGAAGATGAGTGAGATGAGTCGACTGGAAACACCGACTCCAGTGGCCAGGGGCTCCTCAGGCGTATCGGCCTCTCTAGGATCAGGAGTGTCGGGAGCAGGAGTCCCCAGCTCCGGTGGCCGGCACAGCGCCTGGCAGTCCCATTGGTTGAACAAAGGAGCTGACGCCGCCAAGGATGTCTTCAAGTGCGTGTGGTGCAAGCAGAGCTTCTCCACGCTGGCCAGCCTGACCACCCACATGAAGGAGACTCAGCACTGCGGAGTACAGATACCCTCCCCCTCGTCAGCCGGAGGAGCAGGTGCTCCCAGTGCCCCTCCACCCTCCAGGTTGCCCACTTCCGCCTCCAACTCGGCCTGCTCCAGCAGCAGCAGCTCCACGTCCAGCTCCTCGAACTCCTCGAAGTCGGAGTTGAATATGCTGATCAAGGAGACGATGCCCCTGCCCAGGAAGCTGGTGAGGGGTCAGGACGTCTGGCTTGGAAAGGGAGCGGAGCAAACCCGCCAGATTCTGAAGTGCATGTGGTGCGGCCAGAGCTTCCGATCTCTGGCCGAGATGACCAGCCACATGCAGGAGACGCAGCACTACACCAACATTATCTCGCAGGAGCAGATCATATCCTGGAAATCGGGCGATGAGCGGGAAAGGCCCTCGAACGACGGAGCACCGCCCGCCTCCACTGCTCCTCCCCCTCCTTCGGCCAGCGGCACAGCTCCCTCTGTCAGCGCCGTGCTCACGTGCAAGGTGTGCGACCAGGCCTTCGGCACCCTCAAGGAGCTGAGCAGCCACATGGCCCAGCAATCGCACTACAAGGAGTCGCCCACTTCCTCTGCTTCTCCACCAGCTCCTGGGAACCGGAAACTCCAAGAGGGGAAGGCAGAACCGCAACGAGAAACGCAAGAAGTCGCTCCCTGTGCGGAAGCTCCTGGAACTGGAGCGCTCCGGGTCTAACTCCAGCCTCGACTCTGCTCTGAAACCACTTAGAGACTTTGCGGCAGCCACCAAAATCACATGCGAGAAGTGTGGCAGCAAGATTGAGACCGCCCTGTTCGTGGAGCACATAAGGAAGTGCTTGGGGGAGAGCATTCCGATCCCGCCCAGGCGATCCAACCCGGGAGTGGAGCGTCTGCCCAGTCCCAGTTCAGGGTTGGGAGCGGAGAAGCCACCTTCAGTCCTGAATGCCCTGGAGCAACTCATCGAGAAGAGCTTCGAGTCGAGGGCAGGCAGAAACATGACTCCTGGTGGCTACTCCGAGACTGGAACCCCATTGGGAGCCAGCATCCTCAAGCGCTTGGGCATCGACGACAGCAGTGACTACACGAAGCCTCTGATGGATGCCCAGGCGATGCACCTGCTCCGATCCTCCTATGCTTCGCGGGATCGCAGTGCCAGCGAGTCGAGCTCAGCCAGTAGAGTGGAATCATCATATACACCTGATAGGCAGCAGGCTACCCCTCGACGGACTCCAGACACTCCAGCTCCGCCTCCTCCTCCACCACCCACCATCAAGTCGGAGCCGGCAGAGGCTGATCCTCCTATGGGTGGCGATCGGGAGAGCTGCAGTCCTCGGCAGCAAATCCAGGTGAAGAAGGAGTTCAGCATGGAGGCCAGTCGGGAGAGTCCTCGCTCTGCCAGCCAATCCCCTGCGCCCCAGACCGGGGGATCTGCTCCAGATAACGGCAGCCTGCTGGCCCTCAACTCCATGTTTGACCAGCTGAGTGGCGTGGAGACCAACAACAACAACAATTCTGGTGAGTTGGAATCAAACTATATATCTGTATATTTGGAATCAACCAATATATATCTATGGCGGAGAATGAAATGAGTTTGGGGAGGAGAATGAGAATGTTTTATTAAGGAAACTTTGGGACTTTTCAATTAACTCAGTCAATTAATAACTTAATCTATTAACATAAATAATAATTTTTAAATTCCAAATAATAAAGAAAATGTTTAAAAAAAGAGACAAAGTTAAGATTGAAATACAAATGCGAAGACTTCCTCGTGGAATGAGACTCAAATATTTCCAGTTCTTAAAATTTTCATATTTCATACCTACACTAACAATGAGCTAAAACTATAATTTTAATGTACATTTTTTAACCTTTTCCAGGGCACTGCTACAACAACAACAACACATTGAGCAACATCTCCGCCAAGAAACCAAAGGCCCATCCACTGGCTGCCCTGCAGAAGCTGTGCGAGACCACGGATCCTCCTGCCACGATCCCACGCAGTGGATCCTCCTCCGGATCCGCATCCGCGGCACTCTCCTCCGCCAACGGCAGCGATCTGGTGGCCTTCAGCTGGGCCTGCAACGAGGCCGTTCTGAGTGCCAGCAGCGGGGCCTCCGTCGGCGATTCGTCCATTATAAAGTGCTCCTTCTGTGATACGCCATTTGGATCGAAGGGCGCCTACCGCCACCACCTGTCCAAGGTGCACTTTGTGAAGGACGCAGGCGAGGACTCGCCCCGGCTTAAATCACCGGCCGCCCAAAGTCCCAAGTCGCTACCCATGGCCTCGCCCAAGAGATCCGCCTCCAGGAGTCCGGCCACTGGAGCTCAGCTACAGCCTCCTCCGTCGCCTACCATCAATCCCTATGACGAGAGTCCGCAGTCCAAGTTCCTGAAGTACACGGAGCTGGCCAAGCAGTTGTCCTCGAAGAACGCCTAAGGAGCTCCAGCAGGTTCAGTAATAGAATTAGAGAGATGAGGAGTTTAGGATCAACCTGGAGGCTTAAGAAATTACAGAGAAGTTACAGAAATCTTTGAAAATAGTAAGAGAGGGAGACTGCTATAAGCAAGCAGATTTGTTCAAAATGAAGTTTCTTAAGAAGTCTTTATTATTGTAAACTTCAAAATTTCTTTTGTAAAGTCACTTAAAAGAGGTTTTAACGATCTGTTTGCTAAGAGAGGTCAGATTTCAAAAATACCTTGTAATTCCCAACTCAAAACTGAGATTCCGGTAACTCTCTGCATTGATTTCTGATCTGCATGCTCACTCTCTCTGGAGAGAGAGATTAGACCATGCTCTCGCCAATCTCTTGCAGGCGCGCTCTCTCTCTCTCTCTCCTGTTCTTTCTTGAGCGCTGCACACCCACACTGTCACAGGGATTTCCCCTACTTTTGCTGAATTCGCCAAGGAATTTCCCCAGTCTCTCCTCTCTGAAATTTGAATTACCCCTCAGCCGATGACGTCACGGCGATGCTGGTCCGCTTTTTATTGTTTCCCAATCGGACAGTCGCAGTCGGGCGTGCGAGCGAGAGCGAGAGCGGGCTAGCCAGCTGGAAATTCAATTACCACCACTTTGACGAACTGCTGTCCATCAAGGCAGGCAATAGCGCGTCGAACAGAGACGGCCATAGTAACAAAGTGACGAAAGGCGACGACACGAGTTCGTCAAACTGTGATTGGATGGGGGCGAGAGAGACGGCCAGAAGCGGCCAGTGGGTGGGGAGAGACCAAGAGAGAGAGTGAGTGGGCGCCACAATTGAGTGGCAAATTGGACTTGGATTTGGAATCTGATTTCGAGTGCAATTGGACTCTGATTGGAGTGCGGAGTGCACTCGGAGTAAAAGAGTCAAACCTTACTTATTTATTATGCCGCAGTTCCTGGTCAGAGAGAAGAGTAAAAGCGTGCCAAAAACTCGAAATACTTAATCGAATAGGCTAACTAACTAAATCACTAGTTCTAAGCAATTACAAACAAACGCAACGCAGTATACGTAAAACCTAACACTTGAAAAGTTAACCTCATTGATGGATTGTTCGGTGGTGCACTTTGTGGCAGGAGGAGACTTGAATGGTGCATACAGATACATATATATAGCCCCCTTAGATATATGTAAATACTTAGCCAATAGCACTTTCCTTCCATATGTCTAAAGATTATCAATATTTACATAAAGATATAGACGGTCGATCGAATCAAAATGTAGCCACAGCAACGCATGTATACGGAAACAATTTTAAAACTAAACTATATATATATATACACCTACTATATACACAGCATGTATACCGGCAACTCCAGTCTCAGCCTAACTAAGATTCTTGATTATGTAACCTAAGATCTAAGCCTAAGAAGGAGGGGAGAACTTGCAGAATGTAAAACATTTCATCATTATCAGCAACCATTATTATCGGTCTAATCTGTATCTATGATAATGGCAACTATGTATACGACTTGTATTTGAGTTTTTGTGATATTATTTTTAAATCGAAACCGTTTGCTTCCTTTTTCCCCGCCAATGAGATCCCCTTTCCTTATCCTGTAACCCACTCCCGCCCCTCTCCCTTAGATGTAAGTGTAAGTTATATAATTGCAATAAAGGCGCAGCATCCAAAATACACCTTACATGATTTTCTCTCTAAATCTGGTCTTGATCTAATTGAAAACTTTGATTCCAAATTAGTGCGCCATCTGTCGTTCGAAGGGAAATTACCCAGTAATAGAAAGCAAACGAAGAGTTCAATAAAAAGTTGTATGTTTCCGATTAAAAAGGGTTTTTGATGTTCTCTTATTGGGTTAATGCGGATGTCATCACTTCTGGAGGGTCTAATACTTAATAATATTAGTCTATGCCTATATCTATGACTATACAGAATAACAGAAAAAATTAAGTCGAGTTTATCTTTGGGGATTAGGATATATTTGGACACTTGTGCACTTGGGATATAGCATACTTGTGGTTTCTATGACGAAATAATATTAATACTATACCATATACTACCAAATACTATCTTATACTAAAATATACTGAATACTAAAGAATGTATACTGTATATACTGTATATAAATATTATACTAAATGATAAAAACAAAAACGAAGTATTTATTCCGTTATCTTATTTTATCTCAGCCTACTTTCTACATGTATTGGTGACATTTGGTCGTGCAAACAGGACGCACATACTGTTCGTTAGCATGATCTTTATGCAAAAGTGAAGGAGATGAATACATTGTGCTTACAGCTTCTAAGTGTGCATAGATAAGTTGGTGTGTTTGTTGCACATCCTAGTGTGACTGCCTGCTACAAATGTATAAAAGACTATACGATCAGAGTAAATAAGGTAAAAGGTAACATGGAATTGTTGTTATTATGATTGCCATTAGATCATTACTCGAAATAAGGTAACAGTAAGTTAAATTCACTATTGTCCTTCCCTTAAGGAAAACTGAGTGATTATCGAGACAGGTAGTAGGAGTATCATGTTTATAAGACTAGTTTTAATAGAAATTTCTTTCTAATTAGTTAGGTGGATAGAAATTGAACAATTATGATTTCTGTAAGTTTTTATTTCATAAGATTCTACTAAACTAATAGACTTCATATAATTACACTTTAAACAGAAAACATCCCACAAAACCGCAGTAATCAAGGGTTTAAAATTATTACTTAATTGTATTTATTTATTCTTTTGCATGTAACTATAACCTAGATAGACCTTCTCCCAGCAGTCGGTCATTTAGCTAATCACGACTGTGCTGTATTTTAACCAGCCTTGGGCAGTGGCCTAATCTGCAATTAGCCTGGCTTTTCAATTGCTCCCCTATTGGCCAAATTCGAGGCTGCCCAAGAGCTCAGTTAATGGCGGAACGATGGTGCCCGAAAACATGGCATATCAAATTGTAAACTAATATTTGCTAATAAACACGCAGAGTTAATTAAACCTGAATTATGGGGCACATGGTCGTGTTAACTTTGGGGGTGGGGTGCTAAAATTGTGGGGTGGGGGGAGGAGGAGGTGGCAAGGGGCAGGACACTACAGGAACAGGAACATGCGCGAAATGTGAACGCGATTCGCTGATTTATGGGCAACAAAGGATTAAGACAACGACATCCAGATACCGATAGCAACTCCACATACGCATATCCCTATCCCTCTCTCTTCACCCCGTCTCTTTCCCACATCATGTCGCCCTCTCTTACGGCCGACGTTGATGACGATCCAACGCCAACAAAAATCTCCTCGAAAACTTCAATTGCCAAAGGATTCATTTTCACTTAAAATTTATGACGTGTGCGCGTTGTGGGAGGGCCAAAGAGGCGGGGAGGGCTTTTTATATACACTGAGAGAAATATCAGAGGGTTATCCATATGAAAGCGTTTAAAAGAGGCTTTCCACTCGTCTTTATATGCAGTTTCCACATTGAACAAATTTGTTTATATTGGAGGTTAAGGCTCAAAGCCATGAAGATATAAAATCAGTTTGGGTAATATAGTTTTCTTTCAGTATATGCCTCGAGGGAGCGGTAGGATGGGGGACATGTGCTGGGTGTCACATTTGCGTTAAGAGATAATTTTTGGAAAATTTTCCAAACAACTTTTCTGGCCCGCCTCAGTTTTCAGTTTGGCTTCATTGATGGCTTGGTTTTTCTGGCTGGAAGAGGGGGCGCTGCTTTTCTTGCCTCCGAAAGTTGCGCACGGGACACCTTTGGGCTGACCTCCCATCCCCTCCCCAGCTGCCGCTGCTGCTGCTGCTCCGCTTAATGAGATACAAACACATAAATTCTGAAAAGTGTCATGCATAACGGTTTACTTTTTTGCTCTTTGATAAGCCAACAAAACTGCCGACACTGACACTGTCTCTATGTCTAAGTGGGTGGCGGTGGTGGGTGGGCGAAAGTAGGTGTCATGTGGGTGAGGGTGTGGGTGTGGGTGCCCCACGAATGTGTGGCAAAAGTTAACTCCTGACTCCTGAGGCAATAGACAAGGAAATCAAATTTATATAGCCGAAAAGATCAGAAGATGACGGGGAATGTGGAAGGAAACTAACATTGGGAATAGTTCACAATGGTAAAAACTAATCAAAAATAGTTTTCAATTTTTACTTTCAATTTAGGTTATAAATTATAAAATATTTGTCTTTAATAGCTTAAAGCCTTTCTTGTTATGGATAAAAAATAAACTTAAAAATCACTTAATTTTGATAATTCTAATTTGCTAAAATATTTACACATGCATTGGTTTTTGATTAGTTACACGTATTTAAGTTCCTACATTAATGAATTAAATAATAATATATTAAATATAAAATTTTTACCTAGCAAAGTTCGGCAAAGGAATTTTCAGCTCGGCACTTTCAGATGTTTAAAAAATAAATAAATATTTCTCATATTTGGTTCTACTTGATAAGGCAAATTCAAAGGTGAAAATAAATATTAATTCTTAACTTTAATACATATTTAATTAATATTAATTCCAACTCAAGTAAATATTTAACATAAAATTAAATATTTGCTTGAGCTTGCCCCCAAATGCGGAATCCTTTTGCGACGTGTGGCAACGATGTCAATCCGTGTGATAATTCCGCCCAACCCCCAGTCCACCCACCAAAGGACGAACCCCACTAAATGAGCTTGCGAAAATCTCAGTTCCCTGTCTCTGTCTCTGTGTATGTGTGTGTAGGTGTGTGTGCCACTCCTGGGTGTTTGTGTGCTCATCAGTGAGCCATACGCTTGCCATATATCCTGTGGCATGCATAAAGAAAAGTGTAATAAAATTTGATTTATTGTAGACAAGATTCGAGTTGGATATGTTTTCCTCTTCCCCGTGTGTGTGTGTGTGTGTGTATGTAAACGTGTCTGTCTGTGTGCATTCGCATGCTCATTCGCTGCTGCTTCCACGCCTGCGTCTCGCTTACAAGGCAGCGTCTTCCGCCCACGGCCGCCCCCTTTTTTTGGGGCCACACACATCCTGGCGAATAAAGCTTCGGAATTCGCCACCCAACCACCCACCGAAGGCCACCCGCCCCCAGAGCGACTCATGCATCACTCGTCTGGATATCATTCATCTCGTTTGCTGCCGTTTACCTCGGCACATTACCCATACCAGCTAACACCCACCACCCACACAATCGCATTCACATTTTCTGACACTTTTGCTAAACTTTTGCACTGCAGGCGCTTGTCCTGCGTCCTGTGGCAGTCTCATTAGTCCTTGCCGGGCTTCTGGCTGCTGGCTTCTGTTCTCGGCTTCCCCATGAAACCACCGCCATGATGATGGCACTCGCATTCGTCGTGTGGATCTGAATCCGCTCCAGAAACTGGTGGTGGGTGGGCGTTCCTCGAAGCAGCCAAGGCTGCCTGCCTTGGGTTTTTTGCCAAGAAAAGCTGAAAAATCTTGCCATTTGTGCGACAGACAGAGACGGCAAAAGTCTGTTTCTGTAATTGCCATTTTGTAATTATTTAACTCGAGAATGGGCTGATGATATCCTGTATAACGCCAAGATGATCTACGGCGGTAGTGATATAACTTGGTAAAATAAGTATAGTAGAAGTGACTTGTTAGTAGGTAAGAGTGAAGGAGCTGCAAGTCCTTATGATGAGTTTATTTTAAAAATAAGTAAAAGGAGCTCAATACATAAGTCATTTGTTTCTATATAATCCGATATCTGTTTTAAGTTGAATTCTAAATAAGTAATCAAACCTAAAATAGCATTTTCTTTATATAGTCTATTAACCACAGAAATGGTACTAAAGTTACATGCATATATCATTAATCATCTATATAATATTCATAATAATTGGACTTACACCAAGTAAATTTAAAGAACTAAAGAAATAGAGAGAAAGAAATAAGTTGTTTTTCTAACCGATTTCTTCAATATTTCCTTAATATCTCAATAAACATAAACCGAACTGATTTCTCAATCGGGACACAGACTGACTTTGATATCACGCATACGCAGTATTGGTCAAGCGGAAGCATATTGAAAAATCCAGAAAGACTTGGAAAACGTTTTGTTTATTCCATTTTATAGGTGTGTCTTCACGGATGCGTGGCAGTGTGTGTTGGGAACTTTTGCATTATGGTTGGTGGAGACATAAATCAAAATACCATTACGCCCAAAAGGTCCGCCCATATCAGGAGACAACCCATGCTGTGATTTATTAGAAAAACTGCAAGGGAAACCCCCAAAAGGAGGGGGCGAAAGGAAAGCACAAGCAGCAGCAGCAGCGGCAGCGGCAGCAGCAGTAACGCGTTTCTTTTGATAAAAATTTTGAACTAAATCAAAACTTCATTTCACATCGGTGCCATTTCTTGCGCCAGGGCCTCAGTTCAGTTCAGTTCAGTTTTCAGCTTTTCAGTTTTCAGTTGAGTTGAGCGAAAACTCCACCCTCCACTCTTGCAACAAAAAGCGAGACGAGGAAAAGTGCACAACATCGAAACAAGAAATGGCGGCAAAACTAGAAAATGTAGCCAAGCGCTGGCAAGAGCGGAAAATGTTGCACTGCCAGAAGAAGTTTTTAAATGAAGTTTGCAATTCAAATCTTTCCTTAGATTAAAATTTTGCAACTACCTTTAAACTCATTGTTTGTATTCATAACTATTTTGCAGTTTTAAACACCGTCCTTAGCTGTAACCTTTCTCTCAGTGTACAAAGAAGTGTTTGGCTGGTGGAGTCGGTGCTGGGGAGGATGCTCAAAGGACGCCTCGTCCTTTTCCTCAACGGTGTCGCATTCAGCAAACGACGATGCCGCATCGTTGTCCTGCGAC